AGAAATAAGTGACAAGCTCTAAGTCTAACAATGGAGGTCAACAGGTAAATCAATTATGACACTAAACTTATATGGTAGATTTTTTACACAACTGTTAAAGGAAGGTGCAACTAACTTGCTAATTTTACAATTGCTCGATATAATGTTTGCATTAAAAAAAATTAAGTGACTTGTTTCCTGCTTACTGGAGTATACTCAGGAGAACCTTTTTTGGAGGAGAACTTGGTAATTTCTAGATTTTATTTTATTTTATTTTGAGACAGAGCCTTAAGCTGTCACCCTGAGTAGAGTGCGGTGGCATTACAACTCACAGCAACCTCCAACTCCTGGGCTCAAGTGATTTTCCTGCCTCCACCTCCCAAGTAGCTGGGACTACAGGTGTCTGCTGCAATGCCCAGCTATTTTTTGGTTGCAGCTGTCATTGTTGTTTGGCTGTCCCAGGCTGGATTCAGACCCGCCAGCTCAGGTGTATGTGGTTCGTGCCTTAGCCACTTGAGCCACAGACACCGAGCCAATTTCTAAATTTTAAATGTAATCCAGCAATTTGCATTTACAAAAATTATGTCCTACCAGAGATCTTGCACTTGTGCGCAAAAATTTGGCTATAAAAGAATGTTCACTTCATCACTGTTTGTACTAGGAAGTGCTGGAGGGAATCCAAATATCCATGAACTTGAGGTTAGACAAATACCTTAAGGTACATTTATACAATCATATATCTGGCAGCCGTGGGAAAGAAATGAGGTCACCCAACCAGTCCGTACATATGACATGGAAAGATGTCCAAGATCCTGCATTGAGAGGAGAAAAATAAGATGGAACACAGAACACAGTGTGGGTACAATTGTGTAAACTGACACATATGACAAACTTGCAAAATGTCTACATTAACCATCAGCCGTGATTTTTAAAGGAAACAGAATAGGAAGGACTTCCATTTTCTAGTCCAGAATTCAATAGTGCGTGTGTTTACATGAAGCACACCATACTTCTGGAATCAGGAAAACAAATCAATTACTAACTAAAGTACAAAGAACCATTGACCCATTCTCCTGAAAGGATAGGAATTCTATTTATTTACAGTGTGATTCCAATTGTATTAAAAATGCGCATAAGAGTTCTGATTAAGGCTCGGCGCCTATAGCTCAACCGGCTAAGGCGCCAGCCACGTACACCTAAGGTGGCGGGTTCGAATCCCCAGCCCGGACCCACCAAAACAACAATGACGGCTGCAACCAAAAAATAGCCGGGCGTTGTGGCGGGCGCCTGTGGTCCCAGCTACTTGGGAGGCGGAGGCAGGAGGCTCGCTTGAGCCCAGGAGTTGGAGGTTGCTGTGAGCTGTAAAGCCACAGCACTCTACCCAGGGGGACAGCTTGAGGCTCTGTCTCAAAAAAAAAAAAAAAAAAAGTTCTGATTAAGGACTAATCTGAGGCATTGACTGTTTCTCTACCAGATAGCATAGGGTGCATTTGACTTTTCTTTGTCTTCTTTTTCACGTTTTTTCATTAAGCCTGAATTAGCTTCCAAATTGGGAGAAAAGAATTATGGACTTTGTTTTTTGGACTTGCAGAGATTTGAAAGCACCAGTGAGGGGGCCTGGACTATGTGTGTCTGGGAAGGTCCAGCTCCTTGGCTGAGCAGCTTCTAATTTGAGCAGGATTCCAACAAGGGAGCCTGGGCCGGGCTATGGGTGAAGTGCAGCCCTATTTCAGTTGAGTTGCTGAGAAGCTGAACTCCTGCAAAGGCTGTCTGGGGTGGCTGAGGGATGCCAGTGGCGGTGTGGCAAGGCCTGGATTTACTGTCCCCGTTTTTGATTTTTTTTTAATTTTTAATTTTTAAAATATTTAAAATTGGCTCGGCACCTGTAGCTCAGCGGCTAGGGCACCAGCCACATACACTGGAGCTGGCAGGTTTGAATCCAGCCTGGGCCTGCCAAACAACAATGACAATTCTAACCAAAAAATAGCCGGGCGTTGTGGCAGGCGCCTGTAGTCCCATCTACCTGGGAGGCTGAGGCAGGAGAATCACTTAAGTCCAAGAGTTTGAGGTTGCTTTGAGCTGTGATGCCATAGCACTCTAGTGAGGGTGACATAGTGAGACTGTGCTCCCTCCCCCCAAAAAAGGGCTGGGCACGGTGGCTCACGCCTGTTATCCCAGCCAAGGTGGGTGGATTGCCTGAGCTCACAGGTTTGAGACCAGCCTGAGCCAGAGCGAGACCTCATCTCTAAAAATAGCCGGATGTTGTGGCAGGCCCCTTTCATCCCAACTACTTGGGAGGCTGAGGCACGAGAATCACTTAAGCCCAAGAGTTTGAGGTTACTGTGAGTTGTGACGACATGGCACTCTACCAAGGGCTACAAAGCAAGACTCTGTCTCAAAAATAAATAAATAAATAAATAAATAAGGCTCGGTGCCTGTAGCTCAGCGGCTAGGGTGCCAGCCACATATACCAGAGTTGGAGGGTTCGAATCCAGCCCAGTCCTGCCAAACAACAATGACAACCAAAAAATAGCCAGGCATTGTGGCGGGCGCCTGTAGTCCCAGCTATTTTGGGAGGCTAAAGCAAGAGAATCACTTAAGTCCAAGAATTTGAGGTTGCTGTGAGCTGTGATGCCACCGCACTCTACCCAGGGTAATAAAGTGAAACTCTGTCTCAAAAAAATAAATAAATTGGCTTGGTGTCTGTGGCTCAAGCGGCTAAGGCACCAGCCACATACACCTGAGCTGATGGGTTCAAATCCAGCCTGGGCCTGCCAAATAACAATGACGGCTGCAACCAAAAAATAGCTGGGCGTTGTGGTGGGCACCCAGCTACTAGGGAGGCAGAGGCAGGAGAATCACTTGAGCCCAGGAGTTGGAGGTTGCAGTGAGCTATAATGCCACAGCACTCTACCCACGGTGACAGCTTAAGACTCTGTCTCAAAAAACTAAAAATAATAAATAAATAAATAAAAATAGAATATTTAAATTTTTAAAAAAAATTTTTGAGACAGAGTCTGACTCTGTCACCCTGGGTAGGGTGCTGTGGCATCATAGCTCACAGCAACCTCAAACTCTTGGGCTCAAGACATTCTCTTGCCTCAGCCTCCCAAGTAGCTGGGACTATGTGCACCACCACAATCCCCAGCTAGTTTTAGAGACAGGATCTTGCTCTTGCTCAGGGTGGTCTCAACTCCTAAGCTCAAGCAATCCAAAGCCTTGGCCTCTCAGAGTGCTAGGATTATAGGCATGAGTCACTGTACTGGGCCCTTTATATTTATTTTAGAGATGGGGTCTTGCTTATATTTCCCAGATTAGACTCAAACTGCTAGGTTTATAAAATGGGCTTTTAAAAGCAAAGATGGAATGCCAGGCATGGTGGCTCATAACTGTAATCCTAGCACTCTGGGAGGCCAAGCAGGTGGCTTATCTGAGCTCATAGGTTTGAGACCAGCCTAAGCCAGAGCGAGACCTCGTCTCTAAAAATAGCTGGGTAATGTGGCAGGTACCAGTAGTCCCAGCTACTTGAGAGGCTGAGGCAAGAGAATTGCTTGAGCCCAAGAGTCTCAGGTTGCTGTGAGCTATGATGCCATGGCACTCTACTGAGGGCAACAAAGTGAGACTCTGTCTCAAAAAAAAAAAGCAAAGATGGAGCCATGCGTAATGGGGTCACACCTATAGTCCTAGCACTTTGGGAGGCTAAGGCCAGCTGATCCCTTGAGATCAGGAGTTTTTGACCAGCCTGAGCAAGAATGAGACCCATCTCTACTAAAAGTAGAAAAATTAGCCTGTAGCCCTAGCTACTAAGGAGGCTGAGGCAAGAGGATTGCTTGAGCCCAAGAGTTTGAGGTGGTTATGAGCTATGATGCCATGGCACTCTACCCAGAGCAACACAATGAGATTCTGTCTCAAAAAAAAAAAAAAAAAGGGATTATTCCATAATACTGTTTAGCAGCTTGTTCTCTTTTCATCATGTGCTATGGACATCTTTCTCAATACCCCAAAAGTTCTAGTTCTCAATAGGTCTTGAAAGTTTTGGGGGCGATTTTAGCCATCACAATGATGGGGGCACTGCTGTACAAGGGAGGGGGGCCAGGGATGCTGGCACCCCTGAGATGGGCAGGGCAGTTCTGCATGATGGATTTTCCTGCATCTCGGAGGACCTTGGAATGTAGCACAGGAATCCATTCATAATTGTCTGAGTCCAGAGTTTAAAGATATGTTCCAGGTAAGGCAACATATCTTTGGCATGGTTCTGATATACTCTGAGCTTAGGAACATTATGTTTGCTATTTGTGGATTTCATGTAGGGCAATAAAATGAGGTATGATGTAATAATTTATTATAAAAAGGGGGCACGGACAAGAATCCTAACTCTGGCACAAATGCAGCCTTTTGGAAGGGCTGCTTAATCTTTTAAATGGATGTCATCATAATGTGTTCAAATAATCCCCGCCAATGAACCTTTGGGATGAATTCAATTCTGCACAATTGCAATAAGACTTCTTATAAAAACGTGCTTGCACACTCATATTCATCTTTTTTTTAGGATGTAGAATTTCCTGGACATAGACTTGGGTCTACATCTACTGGGCCAAAATTAAGGAATACATTTTTTTTTCCACTTGACTATATTGCCAGATTGCCTTTTAGAAAAGGTTCATACTCAATTATACTACATGAGGTTATTCATTTCCCCACATCCCGACCAGCACTCACTAAAACATTTGTCAGTCTGAGTTGGGGAGTGGTATCTTATTTTCATTCTCAACTTTTTGATTTCAAGTGAAATGGTGTGTAGTTAAGATGCATCAGTTCTGCTCACAGGAAGATTGTGCCCATGAGAGTAATTAGGGCCTTTAGGAGTGTATGTGATTGTGTTCCTGAAAGAATTCTAGGTGGGAGTCTCTCTTACGGATGATGTCTGTCTCCCAGAAGAAACAGCAGGGTGGGAGAAGGCTGGGCTGTGCTGTCCCTGAGGCCCCTGGTCTGGGCCTAATGCTGCCATTTGCCTTCTGCAGGAAGCCTGGAAACACGCCATCGAGAAGGCCAAGCACATGCCCGACCCCTGGGCTGAGTTCCACCTTGAAGACATCGCCACAGAGTGTGCTACTCGGCACAGGTCAGCATATCATCTAGGGACCTCACGGAGTCCTGGGGGTAGGGGTGGGTGGGTCCTGCTTTTGCTCATAATCAGTAAGGCCCAAGTACCCTTGGGAACCAGGAGAAGGGAGTGCTAACACCAACAGCCGCTATTGGGGTATTGCATGGGTAAGGCCCCATACATTGTCTCACTGAAGCGCTCTCTGGCTCTAGAAGGTGCCTATTAAATAGGCTGGGCTGAGCTATGTTACAGTAACAAATACCCCTTATTTCTCATGTATATGAAGTTGAGTGAGAGGTGAACAGCTCTTCAGGGCGGCTGGAGATCCAGGTTACTTCCCCTTTGTGGCTCTCTCATCTCAATATGTGATCCCACCATCACTACCCAAAGGGAAGCTGGAGTGTGGAGATAGCACACCAGCTGTTCAAAGCCTTGGCCAGGAAATGGTGTCACTGTTGCATGTCCATTGGTAAGATCTAGTTACACAGTCTCGCCTAGCCACAGGGGGACTGTGAAGGGTATGCTGCCCTCTCCACCCCTGTACGCTATGTTCTTGATCCCCCCCTTTGAGAAGATGGCTTTAGAGTCCCTCTCCACAGCTGGAGGCCCCCTCTTAGTAGAATCTATGGTCTGTACTTGGCAGCTGAGGTCAGCATCATGGGTAGGGTGTGTGCTTGGTTCTTTTCTACCAATGAGAGCACAGTAGGAGCTGGCTGGTGACGTACTCTCTGAAGGCACAGTAGGAGCTCAGCTGGGATCTCAGACAAGGCCAAATTGTGTTTATTTCTTAATCAAAGTGCCTAACTTTACCTGCCCTGGCTAGCAGTGGTAAGAGGCCAGGTGGTGTCAGCTAGAATCTCCTGGGATTTTTTTTTTTTTTTTGAGGCAAGAGTCTCATTGTCTCACTCTGTTACCATGGGTGACAGCTCATAGCAACCTCAAACTCCTGGGTTTAAGCCATCCTCTTGCCTCAGCCTCCTGAGTAGCTGAGACTATAGGTGCCTGCCACAACATTTGGCTAGTTTTTCTGTTTTTAGTAGAGATGGTGTCTCATTCTTCTTGGCTGGTCTTGAACTCCTGAGCTGAGGTGATCTACTTGCCTCGGCCTCCTAGAGTGCTAGGATTATAGGCATGAGCCACCATGCACAGCCTCCTGGCATTTTTAAATTGGAGGTTTTCTTCTCCATCTCTGAGTTTATAAGAACCTTGGTGTAAGACAGATTTCCTGTTCAGGGTGGCTAAGAACAAGGTTCTGGTTGAAACCAATTTGCATTTAAATTCTGGGTTTTGGGTAGGTTACTTCACTTCTCTGGGCTGTAGAGAGTCCCATGTGGAAAATAAGCACGATAATGTAGCATTTACATTGGTGTCCTGGGAAGGTTGAATGAAGCAATCCCTTCAAGCACCCAGGGTAGAGTGAGTGCTCAGTGAACTTTGAGTAACTCTCACCTTTGTGATGTTAGAGGTTGTGAGTGACAAGACTCTTCCAATGTCACATTATCACTCCCTGCCCCAGATTCCAGGTGCCTCTGAGATTGTGGTCTTTTGGAGATGAGAGACCATTATTTCCTTTACTTAAGTCTCCCTTAATCTCTGTATAGTAATAATAATAATAATCTTTGCTATTATTTATTAAGCACAGTACAGTTGACCCTTGATCAACATGGAGGGCAGGGGTACTAACCTCTCATGCAATCAAAAATCTGCATCTAACTTTTGATTTCCCCCAAATTTAACTAATAGTTTACTGTGGGCCATAACATACATATAATTAGAACATGCAGGAATGTGCCAATTACATATAGTTGATTAAAATATAAGTCAACTAGTATTTGTATATATTTTATGTATTTGTGACATACCTAGCCTTAAGGTTCATCTGTGAGTTTTTTCAAATTGTTGTAAATCTCAAAAACATTTTTCTAATACATTATTTGGAAAAACATCTGTGTGGCTCAGCGCCTGTGGCTCAAGTGGATAAGGTGCCAGCCACATACACCTAAAGTGGCGGGTTTGAATCCAGCCTGGGCCCGCCAAACAACAATGATGGATGCAACCAAAAAATAGCCAGGTGTTGAGGCGGGCACCTGTGGTCCTAACTACTTGGGAGGCTGAGGCAGGAGACTCTCGCTTGAGCCTAGGAGTTGGAGGTTGCTGTGAGCTGTGATGCCATGGCACTCTACCCAGGGGGATAGCTTGAGGCTATGTCTCAAAGAAAAAAAAAAAGAAAAAGAAAAAAATTTGTGTATAAGGTGAACCACAGTCATCAAACCCATGTTGCCTGAGGGACAGATGTTCTTTTTTTTTTTTTTTTTTTTTTTTGAGACAGAGCCTCAAGCTGTCCCCGTGGGTAGAGTGCTGTAGCATCACAGCTCACAGCAACCTCCAACTCCTGGGCTCAAGCGAGTCTCCTGCCTCCACCTCCCAAGTAGCTGGGACCACAGGTACCTGCCACAACGCTCACGCCCGGCTTTTTTTGGTTGCAGCCATCATTATTGTTTGGTGGGCCCGGGCTGGATTCAAACCCACCAGCTCAGGTGTATGTGGCTGGTGCCTTAGCCGCTTGAGCCACAGGCTCCAAGCCTCAAGGGCCAGATGTTTTTGCACAGTCTAGTGCCAGCAAGGTTGCAGCTTGGAGGTCCTCTCTTCCCTCTTCCCTGCAAAGCCTCCGCTTGTTTTTCAGGCTCTGGAAAACCTGTTCTCACCGAGGCTAGGAGTATTCTGGAGTCTGCCCCAGCTGAGGGATGAGCCAGGGGAGGCCTCCAAGTAGAGCTAAGAACACCTCAACCCAAGAGCGAGGTTTTAGACTTTAGGGATCGCCTGAGATGAGATTTCCGCCAAGCAAACCTGTTTGAGGTGCAGCCAGGCCCAGAGGCTGATCTGCTCTGAGAAAGGAGTCATGAAAATGTTCTGGAACTTTCTTTAGCTCTCTCTTTGTCTTGGGTGTGCACCTATCTGTGGAGGAAAAAAATTCAGTTTCCTCTTACTGCATGCTCACAACACAGAATGCTTCTGTGACCCCAAAACCTATGAAGGTTTCTCCCCACTAGCAAACAAAACAATTAGCTGAGAGCAGATCCTAGCTGGCCATCCTCTAACTCAGTTCACTTCTGACACCATCTACCTGGAAGTAGTGTCTCATCCCATGAGACTGCCCCCACTTCCAGTGCCAATCACAAGCTCCAGGTTGTTCTATGTTTGTGACTGATAAGCTATAAATCGGGGTTCCCACAGTCCCCTCCCTGGGTTCAGTAATATGCTGAAGTGGCTCACAGAACTCAGGGAAACTTTCACTTAGGTTTAGTCATTTTGGTTTTTTTTTTAATTTTTGAGACAGTCTCACTATGTCGCCCTCAGTAGAGTGCCTTGGCATCACAGCTCAGTGACCTCAAACTCTTGGGCTTAAGTGATTCTCTTGCCTCAGCCTCCCAAGCAGCTGGGACTATAGGCACGCACCACAACACCTGGGTATTTTTTGTTGCAGTTGTCATTGTTGTTTAGCTGGCCTGGGCTGGATTCAAACCCACCAGCCTCAGTGTATGTGGCTGGCACCTTAACCACTGTACTATAGGCGCTGCTTCAGGTTTACTGGTTTTTTACAAGAGATACAGATGCATGAGGTGAGGCATGAGGGAATGGGCACAGGGATTCTGTGTCTTCTCCAGGCATGCCACCTGCCAAATGCTACCCTGTGTTTGGCTACCTGGAAGCTCTCTGAACTCAGTCCTTTCCGGAGACTTCATCGTGTAGATGTGATTGACTAAACTATTGGCTGTTGATCAACTCAACCTCAGCCCCTCTCCCTCCCTAGGGGTTGGGGATGGGGCTGAAAGTCCAGGCCTCTAATCCTTGCATAGGTCTCTCTGGTGACCAGTCCCCTTCCTAAAGCTACTCAGGGCTTGCAGCCATCAGTTGTCTCATTAGCATATACACAAAGACACCACTGTGAAGATTCTAAGGATTTTAGGAGTTGCATGTTAAGAAACAGGATCCAAGACCAAATATGTATTTTATAATATCACAACCCAATATTGGGGCTCAGAAAATGATACCCAGGCTTAGTGCCTATAGCTCAGCAGCTAGGGCGCCAGCCACATGCATCCAAGGTGGCGGGTTCCAATTTAGTGTGGGCCTGCCAAACAACAATGACAACTCCAACCAAAAAATAGCCGGGCATTGTGGCAGGTGCCTGTAGTCCCAGCTACTTGGGAGGCTCAGGCAAGAGAATCGCTGAAGCCCAAGAATTGGAGGTTGCTGTGAGCTGTGACGCCATAGCACTCTACCAAGGGTGACAAAGTGAGACTCTGTCTCAAAAAAAAAAAAATGATACCCAAAGTGAGACCTCAGAAGCAGCATCAGAAGCAAAGGCTTCTCCCACCCTCCTGTTTCTCAGCCTTCATTCTCCAAGGCAGCCATAAAAATTAGAATCCCTCTTCCCCAAGGTAGATCATAGAAACCTGAGCCCTTTTCCCCCAAAGCCAGCCACAAAACCTAAAAATATTACTCTAGCCTTCCCCTACTTTTCTGTGTAACAGCTGGCCTTAAGGAAATTAAGATGCAGAGGGATCCCACCCCATTCCCTGGAGGAAGAAATACTACAGGGAGGCCAAGAAGAGTCTGGACAGACAGGCCTTGCTGGATTTCCCCACTCAGTCTGTTACCATCAGGTCATGCCCTTTTTGTCTAATCCAGTGATTCTCAACCTTCCTAATGCCACAACTCTATAATGTAGTTCCTGTGGGTCACGACCCATAGGTTGAGAACTGCTGGTCTAATCACTTGTCTCCCTGGCTGTTTCTCTTCCATTGAACCTAGGCATAAAATCAAATAGCTTCCCCTGTATCTTTGGGTCTTTGTTCTCAAGACTCCCATGTGATGTGTAACTATGGTCCAATAGATTGGTCATGCTTTTGTCTTGTTACCCTGTCTTGTCTGTGACCCTTGTGATAGCAGGAAAAACATCATTCCCTGTCTGCCCTTATACCAGCAGCCCCTTTCCTGGCTGGAGTCACCTCCCCCACCTCTGCCTGCACAGGACAGTTGTTTCTACTTGGGAAATGTTCCCAGCTTCCTGGATTGAAGATTGAGGGCACAGCCACCTCCTTCTCTGGGATATCCATTTGCTACACAGATCAGCAATATTTATTTATTCAATCATTTATCCAACATAGTTTTATTTATTAAGTATTCACACACACTAGGCCCTGGAGGAGCAAGACAGATGGAGGTCTGCTTTGGTGGAGTTACAGTCCAGTGGGGGAGTGCGACGCAGAACAAGCCAGCAAACAGCACTGTAGTGAGCACTGGGCAGACAGAGATGGGAGCACAGAGGAGGGGGAACAGGATATTTGAGGAGAGGGAAGATGGCCAGTGTTGGGTTGTCCACAACCCAATCCAGGAACTGGGCTAGGCTTTTGGCTGGTCCAAATCCCGCGGTGAAGAGTGCGATGGATCTGGAAAGGTGCCCTGAGGGACAGACAGGATCAGATTATGGTAGGGTGACCAGATTTTAACATCGGTAAGGCGAGACAACATGGCTGGGGGCGGGGCGGGGCAGGGGCAGGGCAGGGCCTGACAACAATGCAAACTTTGATAAACAGTTCTCGATAATCACTTCTCAGCAATTATTTGTTATTATTACAGTTTAACATTATAAAACTAACAAAAATAATATAAAACTCATATTCTGGTGAAATAGCCACATGGCAGCCGAAAACTGTATATTCCCTTCTTGTTCTCCCGCCCATTCGTGCATTCTTTCCAAAAATCAGGACTTTTTTAAAACGCTGTGAGACGCGGGACAAATTGTTGAAAAGCGGGGCTATCCCGCCAAAAGCGGGACGTCTGGTCACCCTAGATTATGGACGCTGTGTTCTAGGGGGGCTCTGGTTTCTGCAGGTACAATGCTGTGACTGGGGAATGGCTTCAAGATGATGTTCTGATCAAGATGGCATCTCAGGTGAGCTGGGCCCTGAGCCCTGTGAGGAGAGCGACAGAGATGAGTGGGGACTTCCTCCAGCTGAATTCAGTCTGTGCATCTTCCCTCCACAACCCACTTTATTTAAACTCTGGGTATTCTTCATGTTATTGTTTATTAGATTTTTTGTAACAGTTTTAATGAGGTACAACCAACACACCATACAATTCATCTATTTAAAGTGTACAAGTTCGATGTTTATTTATTTATTTATTTTTATACTTTTTGAGACAGTCTCAAGCTGTCTCCCTGGGTAGAGTGCCATGGCATCACAGCTCACAGCAACCTCAAACTCTTGGGCTTAAGAGATTCTCTTGCCTCGGCCTCCCAAGTAGCTGGGACTACAGGCTCCTGCCACAATGCCCGGCTATTTTTTTTGCTGCAGTTGTCATTCTTTTTAGCTGGCCTGGGCTGGTTTCAAACCTGCCAGCCTTGGTGGATGTGGCCAGCACTCCATCCACTGAGCTACGGGCACCACTATCAGTGTTTTTTTAGTAGATACACAGAGTTGTGTGGCCATCACCACAGTCAATTCCAGAACATTCTCCCCCTCCCCATCCTCCGTGCCCATTAGCCGTCACTCCCCATTCCCTCCTCTTCCCCTGGCCCCTGGCAACCACTGTTCTGTCTCTATAGATTTGCCTATTCTGGATATTTCATATGCCAAGATATCACACATCAAAAGAGTATCCTAGGCACTCTTGAAAATCAATTCACCATAAATGTATATGTCAATTTTTTTAAAAATTGTGGGTCACCACCTATTATTGTGTTGTTAAATAAATTGAGCAGCTGGCCACCAGCCTTTGAGGAAAAAAAAGAGAAAGAAAAAGACTAGAAAATAGCATCTTCATGAATAGGGAGGGTAAGGGTTTTGTGAAACATTTTTAGTGTAACATACACACAAAAAAGTGTACAGCTTGATGAGTTTTCACAAAGTGAACACTAGCACCCAGATCAATAAACAGAACATAACTCCTCAGTGTCTGCTCCCTTGCCTCCAAGGCTAAGCACCACTCTGAATTCTAACACCTGATTAGTTTTGCTCAGGTATATGGTATGCTTCCTCTAAGTATAGAGGAGCCTGGAGCCACAGGGCAGGTGTTCTCGTGAGCATGGCTTCTGTTGCACGACATTTTGTGTTCAGTCTCAGTGCTGCATAGTATTTCCTTGAGTGAATAGACCTGGTTGATTTCTCCAGAGTATTGTTGATGGACGCTTAGGTTGTTTTCCACTTTTTTCTGTTACAGATAGGGCCGCACTGTCCCTCCCCCGTGGGTTCTTCCTCAGCTGGGATGGAGGGTTGAGGTGGTCCTTGTCATCCCAAATGCCTCTGGGCTGGAAGGCGTTTTGGGCTTTGGTGCTCAGGTGTAGGAGGGGAGGGCTCAGGGATTTCTCACGCTCCCAATTGAAGGGTGACATCTCCTGGCTCAGGTCTGCTTCTGGGTGGGGCTTGGGGGACTGATAACTCTCCATGTGGTATCTTTCAGCCCTTCGGCAGAGGAGCCATGAGGGAGTGCTTCAGGACGTAAGTGACTCAGCCTGGCGCTCAAGGCCCTTGCCCAGACTCCCAGAGGCCCCTAAGAGCTGGGGCACTGGGTCATTTTTGGCCAAGGAACAGAGACAGTGGCCTCTGCCCTCTTGTGTCCTGAGTTTCTCTCCTTCTGGTCCCCCTAGGCCTAGCTATTAGGGTGGCTCAGGAAGAGCAGGGAGTATCCCACCCATCTCTGCTCTGGTGCTTAGAGGTCAAGGCACACAGAATAGGAGGCCATTAACGATGACCCTTAACCCCACTTCCCAGCTCTTTGAAAGACACAAAGGGGCAGGAAAGGCCTGTCCACCTTACTGTCCTGATGACCCAGGGCTATGACCCCAGAGTGCCCAGGCAGGCACCTTGCTGCCTTCCCCCTTCCCAGGAAGAAGCTGTCCAACTTCCTGCATGCCCAGCAGTGGAAGGGAGCCTCCAACTACGTGGCAAAGTGCTACATTGAGCCCGTGAGCAGAGAGGTGTACTTTGAGGATGTGCGTCTACAGATGGAGGCCAAACTCTGGGGAGAGGAATATAATCGACACAAGCCCCCCAAGCAGGTATGTACCCTCCGCCTGCCTGCTCCCCATGCCAGGGCAGCTGGGCACAGTGTCTGGGAAGGAGGGGGGAAGGCTGGTCACAGGGTAAACAGTGGCTAATAACAGCCACCATTTTTTGGAACATGATGGACCCAGTACTCTATATGCAGAGAGTACTATTCACAGGCATGGAGTTCTGAGATTGGAATGTTTTTATCCTCATGTATAGATGAGTATTACGATCTTAGTTTGTAAATGACGGAAACTCACTCAAATTGGCTTACTCTGAAAAGGGAATTCACTCCCTTGGAAAATAGAGCCAGCCACAGGCATGGCTAAATCTAGGACCAAACTGAAGTCATCAGAAATCTTCCTCCGTCTCCGGGCAGGGTGTTATTTTGTGTCGGTGTCACTCTTGGGCAGCCTTTCCCCTTGCAGTGGCACATTGGCCCCCAGCAGTGGCAGGCTTGTGTTCTGTCTTCTCAACAACCTTGTTATCAATAGAAGGATGGCACCTATTTTCCCAGAAGTTCTACTAAATGTCTCCGAACCGGGTTTCGTTGACTTTGATAAGGTCAGATGGCTATCACTGAGCCAATTACAAGGGGCGGGAAGAGGCAGATAGAGCAGGCCTGAGCCTTGTGCCCACTTATGACCAGGAATATGAGTATTCCACCTAGACCAGCTAGTCTGAGATTAGGGAAGGGGTGGCTCCCAAGAAAAAATGGAAGAAAGAGGAAAACAGATATCACGTCTGCTCTCCAAGGAACCCAGGACTCAGGGAGGTTAAATAACTTGTCCCACCAGGCAGGGATGGAGCCAGGGCTCAAATCCAGGCTTTTCCATCCCACTGCCAGCTTGGCTCCTTCACTGGAGCTCCTAGGGTGCTGGATGACTATGGTCAGGTCTAAATTCCTGTTGCCTGGGGGCATTTAGGAAAAGTTGCACCAAGCCTCTGCCCTGCCCAAATTCACTGTCTGCTAGATGCAAGATCCCCTGGGTGTCTCAGGAGAGCCACACTTCTTAGGCAATCAGCAGAATTTATGGAGCACCTCCTGTTTCCTGGGCCCATGATTTAAGCACACTTGGGTTGGGCACAAAAGTCATAGTCTTTAGGAAGGCTGTGACTTCCTTAGCTATTCACTATACTCCAGCCCAGCTGCCTTGAGCGTGTTCCTGTCTCAGACATTTGCCCTGGCCATGACTCCAGTCTACATCACTTGTCTCCATGATGCTTGCCTGGCTGACTCCTCATGGTTCAGGTTTTAGCTAGGCTGGCTCAGACCACCCTAAGTGGAGCAGCCCCTCCACCTAGTTGCCTCTACCATGGCATTCTGGTTTGTTTGGTTTTCTTTTCTTTTCTTTCTTTCTTTTTTTTTTTGAGAAAGATTCTCCCTATGTCATCCTTGGTAGAGTGCCACAGCGTCACAACTCACAGAAACCTCATGCTCCTGGGCTTAAGCTATTCTCTTGTCTCAGCTTCCCAAGTAATTGGGACTACAGGCACCCACCACAACGCCCTGCTATTTTTTGTTCCAGTTGTCATTGTTCAGCTGGCCCAGGTCAGGTTCAAACCCGCCACCCTCGATGCATGTGGCTGGTGCCATAACCACTGTGCTATGGGTGCCAAGCCTGATTTTCTTTTCTTTGGAGAAGTTAGTGCTGAGAGAGCTTTATACATTTAATCCATATATTAGTTGCTTCTGTCCCTAAGGGGGGACAGAACTGTTCTCTGCTGTCTCCCAGGATCTAGGTGTTTTATAAGTACTGAAGGTTGAATGAAGGGAGAGAGAGGGATGTGGTTATTCAAGGAGGTCCTGGCTGTCCACATGTGTCCACCCAGGAGCCCTCTGGCTGAGCAGGTACCCCTGCTGCAGGTTTCCTGGTAGGGAATAGAGCCAGCATGTCGGGTGGAACCCTCTGAGAATTGCCCCACTCCTTTCCCTCAGGCTGATTCTCAGAACTGAGCTGGTGTTTGGGGGAAAAGTCTCAGCTCTTAGCTCAGGGTCCCTTTGGCCTCTGCAGCTTTTGTCTGGCTGCTTGGTGATTCACCATTCCTGGGAAACCCAGCCCTGGCTCCTTCCATCGTGTGGGTGACACTGAGGGGTTGGGTGCTCTAATAAGACCTTATATAACAGGGTAGGAGGTCTACATTAGAGTTACAGGTCTTTCCTACCCCACTTTACAGACCATACACAGTATTTATATATTTTCATATTTTCATATGTGTACAAATTAAACTTATACTTTGTTAAAAAAAATGTAGCAAAAAATGTCACGGTTTCTCATAATTCCCCATTGTAGGAGAGAACCACTGTTTACACATTGATATACTTGTATATTACCCTAAAATTGTGTCTATTGATAATAATAACAAAAGCCTGTCTCCTTTGTGCTTAATAAATTTAATGCACTTGCTAAGTCTGAGATCGCCATTCCTCAAATGAGTAAACTGAGGCACAGAGAGGTGTAATAACTTACCCAAAGTCACAGCATTTGTGTAAGACACAGGCTAAGTTGCCACACATATGTGCTGACAGGAAGGAGTTTCTTTTTTTTTTTTTT